GGGGGACTGACCTTTGGTTTTTTTTCCTCCACTCCTCAGTGCCCCGTGACCCCTACAGAGCAAACTCTAGTCTCAAGAGATCTTGTCCTTAGTAAACTGGTTTATTCATTCATTCACTTCACCCAGCAACTGTTAAGTGTTTAAGACAAAGAGTCTGACAATGACCATCACAGAATGTCAGAGCTGGGAAGAACCTTAGACCCATCTAATCTAATCTCCCATTTTACAGGTGTGAACCTGTAAACCTAGGTCTCTCCCCTCCACTGACTGAGAACAAATTCCCAAAAGATAGGACTTGGTTCTGTTCCATCTGTCTCACTCAAGTTGAGCTCCCTGAGGGCAGGGTTTGGTGTCTAACCCTTCTCTCTCTTCCCCTGGTCTAGAATGTACCCAGGAGCAGGGTTTGGCCTGAAATATACTTCTTTGTCTCTCACTACCTTCCAGATTGGGAATCTAGAACAATCCAAGATCCAGAAGGAACAGGGTTTATCTGAGTTGGCTTCTTGCACAAGGGCCTATCAAGTTTGCCTCCAATTTTGGGGGGAATCATTCTGTGCTGTTTCCTTGTGCCTAGAGAAGGGCTCTCAGGATGGAGGATGCTTGCTTTGTCTCCTTAAGACAATGCGACCTGTTCCTGTATCTCCAGATTCCTGTCTTACTGAGTTAGAATTACCTTGATTTGGTGGGCAGGGACTTGGTCGAGTTTAGTTCCAATCAGACTCCACTTCTTTCCTGTTGTTTGGTGACCTCAGCCAAGTCCCTTAACTTCTCTGGGAATTAGTTGTGACTGTTGTGTTTTTCAGTTGTGAAGGTGGGTCAAGAACTCTGAGAACTTCAGGGGTAGTGCCCTGAGAGCATTCACCAGAACTCCCAAAGAGACTGCTGCTACTGTCAGCCAGCACTGCCCTCCCCAGCTCAGCTCTAGTACGTCCCACTGTTTCCTCTCAGATCGGACTAGCTCCCTTTCCAACATAAGGATGGGAGGTAGAACTGTTCCCTCCCTACAGATTTCTTGGAGGTTTCCAATTGAAGGTGAGTGGGTTGGAAAGCTTGAGGTCTGAAGTCCCCAAATCCATTTCCTGGATCTGGCACCACTGAGAAAGAGCCAAGACAGGAATCTATGGTGTAAAACACTTAAAACTGGAGAGCCTGGATTTGAATCTTTGCTCTGACAGTTTGCCTTCGTGACCTTAGGTAAATCCCTTTGCTTGAGTTTCAGGCTTCCTCTGGGCTTCAGTTTCTTTATCTGTCAAATGTGGGGGTTAGATTAGATGGCCTCTCTCAATCTGTGATCCTGTGAATTCAAATGTTCTCAGAGAGGTTGATCAACCTGAGCTAAGAAAGTCCTGGGGAGGTACTCTTGTTAAGATTTATTCCTTTCCCTTTTTCCTCCCATAGTTGGGAGCATGCGTTTCCCAAACTTCCTAGGGTCCCCTTGATTTCAGGCCCCAGCCTTCCATTTCATGGAAGGACCTGCTATTACAATACACATCAAAATCTGGGTCAGAAGAGCAAGTTCATTTGGTCCCATCCTGAAATACACAGGATGTGGCTTATTTACCACCACCCCCAAACTCTGGACTGCTCATAATGATGGGCAGCTTCTCCAGAGCCCCACCCTGAAATCACATAGCAAAGCCCAAGTCCACGGCTGCCTGCAAGGTTAGGAACCATCTAGGCTGCAGAATCCAGTCAGTTCTTTCTCTCACTGATTTCCTAGGGTGCTGTTCCCTGGGAGAGATAGATACTGTATACATTAAGTGGGGTTGAGGAGAAAGAGCCAGCTGGAAGAAGTGGGGAAAGGGGGGAAGAGTAAAACAGTGTGGCCAGGGAAATCTAGGCCCGGAATAGTGTAGAAAAATCTAATACTTGAGAATCTTTGTGAGTGCTGCCTCCCCTCCTACATGGGCATAAAAGAATCCCATCCTGGAGGCAGCTAGGTGGTACAGTGGATAAGCTCCAGCCTTGGAGTCAGAAGGACCTGAATTCAAATCCAGCCTCAGATACATGACTTTTACTAGCCCTGTGACCCTGGGCAAGTCACTTAACCCCGACTGCCTCACAAAAAAAAAAAAAAGAATCCCATCCTGGATACTTATAAGATCTAGAACTGGAAGAGACATCAAAGACATCTAGTCCAACTCCTTCATTTTACAAATGTGGAAACTGAGGCCCAAAGACGTTAAGAGATTTGCCCATGGTCACAAAGTTAAGTGTTCTGTGTCCATTGTAAAACGCTGTTTTTAGGCACAAGAGTTTTCTACAAGTTTACTCCCTTTGCAATCCTATATTGGTATCAGTGTAGGCAGCACCAATTCAAGTGGTGGGAGAGCTCCTGCATGACACAACTCTCTTTCTCATTTTACCCTCCTTCACTCTGCCTCCAAGTAGAACAGTGAAAAGAGCACTGGATTTGAAGTCAGGACCTGTACTCAAATCCCAACTGTTATGACTTTAGCATATGTGACTCTGAAAAAGTCACTTCTCTCAAGGTATAAATTTATTCCTTTATAAAAAGAAGCAAGTAGTTAAATGATCTGTTCTATAAGATTCCTAACAGATTTGAAAATCCCATAATCTTATATCCCAACTCCTTTCTTCTCATCCCCACAACAGCTTCTTCTGTCAGGAAGGAAAAATCATTGCTGGGAAAAGTAGACAGAGATGGAGACTGAGGGAAGGGGGATGTACATTTGAACGGGGCAACCTGGAGAAAGGTATGCTGATGCCCAGTGAGTGGGCTTTCAGACATTGTGGTAGATGTGTTTTGGGCAGGGGCCCGATGGCCACTGAAGGCATTTGCTGTGAAGTGAGTGCTTTTTCCAGGTGTCCAGAGCATAAGAAAGGGTGCTTCATCACTTTTCACAGCGCCTCCCTGCACCTCTCACCAGGAGCAGTTCCTGAGAGCTCCGGGTGGTGGTGGGGGGGGGGGCAGGTAGAAAGAAGAAAAATGGGTCAGGCACAGGGAATGGGAAAAGAAGCTGTTCTTGGAATCCTGGCCACAGAGGTGGGAATCCCAGCTCTGCTCCTTACCTCTGGGCCTCGAGGGGGCTGGACTTGATGACCTTTAAAACTGTTTCTTGAAACTATCATCAGTAGGCACCTCTGGATGACCCCGATGTTCTAACAGCATTTGCCACTCAGGGAAAACAAAGCAGTCTCCAACTTGTAGAGAATGAGTGCTTGACCGTCAGTTTTGGCCTTTACTGTCCCCTTGTGGTGAAGAGAAGCAAGGAAAATACCTTATCTTACAGGATCATAGGATTGAGTCTACAATCCTCCTTAATCTTAGTGCTTTCCCTCTGAGTTTAACCTCTTTATATTGTTTGTACATTTTTTTTTTTGCATCTTGTCTCCCCTATTTAGACTATCAGCTCCTTGAGAACAGTGACTGGTAATTTTTGCCTTTTCTTGTGTCCCCAGTGCTTAGCACAGTGTCTGATGCATAAAAGGTGCTTAATAAATGCCAGCTGACTGACTATACTAGCCCCTCTCCCAGTCTACAAGCAGGTCTTTATTTTTTTTAAAAAGTTTTTTATATTTTCTTTTAAATACTTTTTTTGTTTTTATATAACCTACATTTCCAAATGTATCCTTATCCTTTTCCCCTTCCTATTTTTTTCTTTTCCCCTTCCTAGAAAGTCACTCCTTATAAAAACACAAAAGAGAAATTTAAAAAAAAATTGCAGCAAACCAACACATCAAAAAAAAAATCTAACATTATCCCACATTCCCCCTCCTCTGCACTGGCAGGTCGAACCATCATGCCATCCAACAATGGGACAACGGGATTGCATGTGTGTGTGTGTGGGGGGGTTATCTTTTGAAGTGGAGAGTTCTCCATTATTAGTTGTCAAGTATGTGCTCTTCTTTTGTCAGTGGCACTTCCATCGATTATCTTATATTCAAAGCCTTGAGGGTTTCCCTCTCTCTCAGCTCTCAAGTGTATTAAGTTACCCATCCTGTCAGTTCCACCCTAGCCATCATCTTTTTCTATGTTCTCTCCTCTCTCTTACCACGTCCATCAGGTTGTGTGTATTTTATCTGCTGTCTAGGTTCTCTCGCTTCCTCTTCTCTCCATCCTTCCTGCCCACCCCCCACAAAACAAACAAACAAACAAATGTCATCCTTCACATCACTCCTAGGCTAATCTTCCATTGGCAAAGATCTGGGTATGTTACCTATCAGCTGAAAAAAATACTATCAAATAGCATCCCAATTTTGCCTAGCATTCAATATCATATATGGTCTGGTGCCATCTTACTTTCTTAAGCTATCTTATAACTCGCTTCCACCCAACTTCATGCTCCAAATAATACCATATGTTCTCTGTCCCTAAGGATACCTTATGCTCTCCCACCTCTACATCTTTGCTCATATTATCTCCTTATACCTACAATTTCTTCCCTTCCCCTTTGCTGAATCCTTTTTAAAGCCCAGATCAGATGTCAAATGCCTTCCTTGATGTCCCACTTTCCAGTTCTCAATCCTGTGATCCCGAAGATCCCACATAATACTTTTTTGCAAATGTTACAGTATACTCTCAATTATCCATGTGTGTCTTACTCCCTCTACACTGGAGCAGGGACATATCTCCCACAGTACCTAGCATAGTGTTTGGCACACAGGAAGCACCTACTTGAATGGACGAATGAATATAGAAGCTGAAAGACTATCTCCTCTTTCATCTCAGACTGTAAACTCTGTGAAAGGATCAGTGTCTGCTCCTATTCAATTTTCCTCCAGACTGGGATTTTCCTAAGAGAGTCTGTAGGAGGGAATTCCTGACTTAGGGAAGTTGTACTAGATAACCTGACCTTCCATCTAGCCCTGATATTCTATGATGCAGAATGTTTTCCTAGCACTTCTTGGAAGCCCTTCCCAAATGTCTAGCCCTCCATTGTCCTTGATACATTTTAAGCCAGCTTCCTCTTGCCCATTCTGCCCACCCTCAGCAGAGCCAGAGCAGCTGCTGAACTCTCTCTCTTCCCTGACCACAGGGCGAGCCCACCTCTCTATCCCCTCCCCCCTTCCTGTGGATATAGACAGCACTTTTCGACTGCAGTCTCCCCGGGGGCACCTTACCCTAGGTGAGTATGGGCCATTGGTTCCATGTGTTCAGGGTGGCTCAGCCAGGGACCTTCAGCTTTCTCCATGTGGTGTCCCGCCAATGCTGGCAGATGGGCAGTGGGAAGGGCCTTGCCCTGTCTGTTCATTTGTCCGTCTGCCTCAGAAGCAGACTTCAGCTTGCAGTGTTATGTCTGTCTAGCCTTTCCATCCATTTACCGAACTGATGAGTGTTATCCCGACTCCCCCACCCCCCAGGGGAAACTAGTTTAACTCGGCCACAGAGCCCAATCTCTTCCAAGGTCACATATTGGATGTGGACATGTCTTGGAGCCTCTGTGCCTATCTCAGGGTAGACACAAGCAGAAGGGAATGGAGAATTCGGCCCCATATACTATGAGCTTCACTGCCGTATTACAGTGTTTAAACAGAGGAAGACTATCCCTACTCCACCTCCTGTGAAGGGGCCCGGAAAAGGTCCAAACTTCCGCCTCCATTGCATGTGCCAGCCTCCATTCATATGCACACATCTGTGTGCGCATGTCAGCTCTTATGTATACTTGCTTAGCTCCTGCTTCTGCTCCATTTTGCTTTAGATAGAATGGAGAATATCCAAGTCTTTTGGGGGAAGCCTGGCAGAGTTATCTGAAGCAGTGGCAGGGAGATTGCTGGCTTCCTTCCCATGCCTCCTGCCCCAACACTCTTGTCTTCCAGACCTAGTTCAGCAGCAATTGAGCCTTCTCTGATACCAAGGCTCCAAGCATCCCAATACTGATCAATGCTGATCCTCACAGTGCAGTGTAACTTTGGGGGAGGAACCAAGGAAGTGGAATTTAAGCTTTAATCACCAAAAATGCTGAGTCACTTAACCTGAGTCTGTAAAATAGAAAAAATACCACCTGCACTATCTGCCTCCCAGGTCTGTGGTGAGGGAAGTATTCTGTTTACTTTAAAGCACCACAGAAATAAGAGTTGTATGAGAGGCAAAGTGCTGCAATAGTGGGTTGCTAGATCTATAGTCTGGGAACATGGGTTCAAATGCTGGCTCTGCCAATTACCATCAGTACTGACTTTAAGCAAGTCATTTAACTTTTGAGCATTGGTTTCCTCATTTGTGCATATGTGTGGGGTTTTTTGGCGGAGGGAGTGATGAGTCTATGCTCAGTGTTGTTTGGGAATATGCATATGTCTCCCTTTTAGCCTCTTCTCCCTGGCATTCCTTCCTTGTGTCTCCTGATTCAATAAACCCAGAGTGCCCTGGGCAGTCCCAGCACAGTCAGTGATCTCTCTTTCTCTCTCTGCTCCTCCCCCAGGTTCACCCATCCATCTCTGATGCTGGGCTCAGGCATGCACACCACTGGCATCCCCCACCCAGCCATTGTGCCCCACTCTGGAAAGCAGGAGCTACAGCACTACGACAGGGGCCTGTAAGTGAGCTAGAAGCAAAGACTGGCGGGGGGGGGGAAGATGTTACCCTCAGTTCAGAACTGGAAGACCTGGGTTCAAATCCCAGCTCTTGCCATTTCTTTGCTACGTAGCTTAGCAAATTCTTTGTGTCTCTTTGTGTGCCATTTTGTCATCCATAAACAGGAATATTAGTGTTTACACCAAAGAAAATGGTTTTGAAGAAAGCACGTTGTAAACCTTATAGGCCCTACAGAAATGTGTCATAATTAGCTGGCTTGTCACTAACTATCTCTTTTTCCTTTGAGCCCCCCCTTTCTCCTTTTACAATGAGGATGAATAGAACCATGCTGTGACTGAAATATTGGTCTCAGGAGCATTCCCTGACTTTACAACACCTCAGTTTCCCTTAAGAATTTCCTATCCAGAGATCTATGTAAACCTGTGTGCAATCTAGTTTATATGTCTGGCCTATCACATCTTGGGGTTCCAGGTAGCTAGATCTAAGGGAGGAAGGCGAGAGCCAGGCCAGTCTTCCAAGTCAAGGTTTGTGCCCAGAAAGAAAGAAGATCAGAGATGTGGCATGGCAGCTGTTATACCCTGCTTCATCTCCAGCTGAATCTTCAGCTAAGCCTCAAGTGACTTCCATCCAGCTCTAAGGATGAGTCATAGCCCTGACCTGCTCTGTGATTTCAGGCCAGATGCTGCCCCTTTCTGGGCTAAAGGAGCATGTTCACCTCTTTATTACTACTTGTATATCACCTTTTAATTTATACAAAACTAACCCAGGAAGAAATCTTATGCAAATAATAAATTTGGTGGTGATGATTCACCTTACAAAAGAACTCTTCACCTTCCAAAAGTATTCCTATAAATAAAAGCCACTGTCCTTCCTCCTTTATGAGTTTTTAATTGGATCTGATTTATAAAAATCCTACTTACATGCAAATTTTCAACATCAACCATACAGCATTGAGTTACAGCAGCAATTTAGATTTACCTTAGATCTAGAGCCCTCTGTAGATATTCTTCTATTTGTCCTTATAATATTCCATGAAAGGAGCAGGAATAACAATTCTCATTTCATAGTGAAGAAACCAAAACCCAGAGCTGGGCCTGGAAGCCAGGTCTCTCGGCTCCTAATGGGTTAGTTCTCTAGAGCAGTTTGACAAAGTGGGGGTGAGGGAGTGGGGGGGGGAATAGTTTAAATGCTGTGATCCTGTTTATCCCCCTTCATGCTGTCTTTATCCAATTCTTCCTATCCACCCACCCCCACTAAAAAAAAAATCCCACCCCGGCCTCTGCCAGGAAACCTCCATCAGAAGCCAAGCAGGAGAAAGAAGCTAAGAAGCCAACCATTAAAAAGCCCTTGAATGCATTCATGCTGTACATGAAGGAGATGCGGGCCAAGGTCATCGCAGAATGCACACTCAAAGAGAGCGCAGCCATTAACCAGATCCTAGGGAGGAGGGTAAGAGCCAGGCCAGCCCTTGAGTCAGGAGGGTTTGGTAACCTAATAAGAAAGGAGATGTAAGATGTAAAGGGGGCTGGGGGAAGGGGAGGAAGATCCTTTAGAATGTGCACTCTATTTCTAGCCACCCCCACCCCCAGACTTGTTCCATCTTCCTTACTGTCACTCCCTTCCATCTCCATCTGTCTGTTTTTAAAAATTCTGCATCTGTTGTAGTCCGTCTTTATTTATTGCTCTCTGTGTCAGTCTTTGTTACTCCATCATCTGTCTCCATCCCTCTGTGTCACTCTGTGTCTCACTGGCTAAGCAAACAGTGGGCATGACCCTGGGGGACAGGTGATGGTCTCCCCCATCCAGAGGTTCTCAAGTGGTGGACAACCTCTTCTCTCCCATCTACCATAAGGACAGATGAGGTGATGACCAGAAGAATGAGCTGATGGGGAGACTATAGAGGAGCAGGAAAACATAAAAGGAGCCCCCCCCCAAAGGATGGGCTAAGGAGGGTCAGGCCTTCAGGGTGAGGTTGGCTGGGCCCAGTAATCACTGTGTAGCACCCATGTTCCATTTCAGTGGCATGCGCTATCTCGAGAGGAGCAGGCCAAGTATTACGAATTGGCCCGAAAGGAACGGCAACTCCACATGCAGCTCTATCCCGGCTGGTCAGCCCGAGACAATTATGTGAGTGTTGGACTGCAGGAGACCTTGTGGTAGATATCTATGTAGAGTACACCCAAGTTCTTCCTCCAGGCGTGACTGGTCGATTGCTCTCATCCCATCCTTTCCCATGCCTTCTCCCTCAGTGAAGGACTGGTGGGAAGAAGGAAGCATGACTTCTCTCTTCTCACCCAACATCCAACAGTGAACGAGGGAGAGAGGAAAAGAGGGATACAATAGAGATAGCAGGAAAACAACAGTCTGGAACACACAGAAAAGAAATGTAAGCTAGCCCAGAGACAATTATAACACATATAATATAGGAGCCTGGTAGTTGGAAGGGCAGGAGGAGATATATGATGGTCAGATGGGAGGTGAGAGTGTGTAACACTAGGTTAATTTGGGAAGGCTGTTTAGAAAAGGACAGGTAGAAAAAGCCCACCCTGTATCCTTCTTTAAGAGGCACAGATAAGTGACATGGAATAAAGAGGAAAAATGGAAGTTTCCACCTTAAGTATAGCACAACAACAATAACATAACTTTAACATAAAGCCTGCCTGAGAATTCAGCATAGTAATGTTAAAATCTCAGAGATATAAGTGAAGAATTTAGAGATCATCTAATCTAATCCACACTCCAACAAGAATCCTGTCTACAAGATCTCCAGAAATGGAGAGAACTCACACCTCCCAAGGCAATCCATTCCACTATCAGATAGCACCAATGGAAGTTTTTCTAACATTGATCTAATATTCTAATGTTGACCCTCTGTAACTTCTATCCATTGCTCCTAATTCTGCCTTCTGGAGACAACCAGAACAAATTTAATCCCTCTTCCATATCATAGCCCCCAAGGTCTTCTTCTCTTGTCCAGGTTAAACATTCCTCCAAACCATCCTCCCACTGTTTGATTTCTGGTCTCCTGCCATTATAGTTTCAATGGCCTTCCTAAAATATGGCATACAGAAGTGGATATAATTTTCCACATCTGATCTAGACAGTGAGACTATCACATGCCTTTGGAGTAAGATTCATATTAGCTATTTTGCCTAACATTTTACATTGTGGACTCATGAGATTTAGTGTGTTGAAGAAAGAACACTGGTTTGTTGACAGAAGACCTGGGTTTGAATCCTAGTTCTCAATTGATTTCCTCACCTGTAAAATGAGAAGGCTAGGGTAATCTTAAAGACTCCTTATAGCTCTAAATTCTAAGATCCTACCATCCTGTGAGTTTTTTAGTACATTAAAAACAATTTCTAGTTTGTTTTGTTTTGGTTTTTAAACAAAATGAGGTCTGTTCCCTCGGAGAACAGTCTAACACTTGGAAAGAGCTAGAGAGAGAACAGGAGGACAGAAAAAATATGGTTGGGAAGGGAAAGGCAGTGTCTTTTAAAAAACTCCTGGTCCTTGCTGCATATCCTGTCCTAGGATACTCCACCAGACTGAATCAAAGAACTTTAGTAAGGTGCAGTGATAGGAAAAGCATTAACCACTGTTACCCCTCCTAGATCATCAGCGCTGTGATAGCTAGATCTGGGAAGGACTTAGGAGAGGGGGATGTGGCTAATGGGTAATGTCCCGACCTCACTAGGACTGGCCCCAATCCCTTCATTCTTAGCATTCAAGTTTTAAGATTCTGTCCATTCCCTCACAGGGGAAGAAGAAGAGGAGGTCAAGAGAAAAGCATCAAGAATCTAACACAGGTGAGCATGCCTCAGGCAGCCGACATGACTGGGGGTGAGGAGTGGTAAAGAAAGAAGGGAGAAAAGGATCCAGAAGACAGAGAAAGGCTTAGATTCCCAGAGTGCTGTGGAAGATAGATTGCAGTTAGTTCCTAGTCCCAAAATAATTAACAATTTGTTTATCCATTCTTATTTCCTGGGTATCATTCCATGGTGAGGCAGCCTACAGACAATTTATCAGCTGACAAAAGCAGAACACTAAAAAAAAAAGTTTTGTGGGCTCCATATACATTAGAACCACTGCTGCTGATTTTCGCCCATAGGATTGTACCAGGAAAAACTGGCCTTAAGTCAAATTATGAAGTAGTTGAAGTGTATCTTCTACCCTTCCTACCATATTGATTCCATACACACAAAATGAGGTGGCTAGGATTCTCTTACTGCTTACATAACATCTCTCTCCCTGTCCTCGCCTACCCACCCCCAAAACAATCCTGTCCAAACCTATTCTCTGAGAATTATCTCATTGGGAAGACTCTAATGAACTTATTCAAAGAAATGAGCTAATGACTTAACAACTAAAATCCTTAGAGTGCCATCTACATTTTAATAGGAAGCAAAGCCTAGACCTCAGAGGATGGAGAATTTCCTTCCACCAAGGTATTGATAGAATTTCAGAGTAGAGAGAAGTGTAGGAACAGCAGAGGTCCTTTCTGACATGTCTCACAATCATAACATGCAGGCCAGCTGCCCATTTATCTGACTCAACTAATCCCAATGTCAGTTCTAGATGCTAGAACTAAAAGGAACTTTAGTTTAGACACCATCAAGTCCAATGCTTTCATTTCACAGATAAGAAGAACTAAGGCCTGTAGAGGGGAAAGAACCTGCCCAAATTCTCACACTGAGTTAGTGGAAGAGCTGAACCTGGACTCTATCCTCTGCACCAAAATGGTTGTACTAAGATAAAGTTATGTTGATTATCATTCTGACTAAGCAACTAGTAGCTCATAAACCCCTTACAGATTTTCATGACAGCTGAATTTGGTAACGTGAGTGATACCATTCAAAAAAGGACGTATGATGTCATCACCTCTAAGAAAAAGAGCTCATCCTTCCCCCTGCTGTCTCTTGGCCAACACAGACAAAGAAGGGACACAATCATAAGGACTTTATATCCCATGTTGATCTCCTCTAGCTCCCTCTATTCTACCAGACCCAAAGAGTTTTTGTTGAGGCAAGTTAATGAGAACTTTCAGGTCTACAAAGGGTTACTTTACTATCCTAGAAAGGACTTACTGCTCAATCCTCTATCTACAACATAGCAAAACTGAACCAAGGAGGGCTCACACTACAAGGGGGACCTACAGTATAGCTACAAGGAGAACTTGGGGCTGTCGTACACTGGAATGAGTATCAGAGGATTTCTAAACTGGAAAGGACATTAGAGATCCTCTACAGCAAGTGGTATTAACCTTTTTTTTTTTGGTCTCATGAACTCCTTTGGCACTCTGGTGAAGTCAATAGACTCCAGTCTCAAAATAATGTGTTTAAACAGATAAAATAGTAGGATGAAGCAAAGAAACAAATTATATTAAAATATTATTTTAACATATTTATATATTCAATGGAATTTTAAAATTTTAATATTGATAATTAATATTTTAATAATTAAATATATTTCTAAGTTCACACACCCAGGTTAACAACTCTTGCCCTAGATATTGCTGCCAAAGAATTCATCAATTCATCCAACAAGCATTTATTAATCACCTACTAAGTACTAAATACTGAGGATACAAAAACAAAAAAGGAAACTCTCTACCCTCAAGGAGCTTACATTCTAATAGATTAAAACAGATTATATTTTAATGAATTAAAAACATGTATAAAAATAACTGAGTATAGTACACAGAGCTGCAAGGTAGAATCTAAAGGTAGCATCTAAAGCAAGGTAAAACCTTGCTGAAAATTCTTTCTCTGCTTGAGATGATGGCAGCTCCTGTTGCATTATGGAATAGGCAGAAATACGGTAACTGCCAAAGGCAGCTGCCTTACTCAGGAGCCCCAAGAAAGGGACAGGCAGGGCAAAGAGGCAGCTTGCCACAAGAATTAGCTGTAAGAGATACCAACAATAAAGAAAACACACAGGAGATCTGGCTTCCAAAAAGTATGGGAGGCACGGGGAATTCTGTAGTGACCTTCAAGGATGTATTAGGTTTGTATTATATCTGCTGGTGAAGAGTAATAGCTAAATATACACTAAGTTCAGGTCGGTCTTCCTCCTAGGGGAGAAGTTGAAAGGGCTGGAGGAATGCCTCTCTACACTCCAGGTTACCAGGGAGAATGAAGTGTTCCTTGAAAGCCTAGAAGAAGGGCTACAAGGTAAAAACAAAGAAGAAAAATAATGCAAAGAGCAAAGGGGTATATTGACCCACCAGGAGGCTGGAGAATATAATAATACAATACAGAAGAGGAAGGGAAGAAAGTATATTTTGAGCCTAATTAATAGGCTTTTCCTAAAAAGGGGGGAGTTGGAGAGGAGGAAATAGCTTTTTGTTCTCCAAGGAAAAGTGATGTGGCACTAGGAAAGAGGTTGTCACCCAGTCATTTTCAGAGAAAGAAGCAAAAAGCAGCTGGTGGCTCCTTGCTAAGGAATAAAGAGGCAATTATATATATGGAGAGGCACATGATATAGGGTGCTTAAGGACCATCACTAACCTGTAGTGATCCATGTAGGAACCAATGATACTACCAAAGGAATTTAGGAAGCTTGCTAGGAATTAGGAAATCCCGGTTAAGAAACTGAAAGATTAGGGCTAGATGGAGTGTTTTGATCATTACTTCTAGTGGAAGATGGAGGCTTCTAAAGGGAAAGGCTGATTTGGGAAATGAATAGCTTGTGGAGATTATGGCTGAGGACAGGGTTTGGATTTCAGGACCGTAGCAAACAACAGATGTTATTATGTCTCTTGGTCTAACAAGGGCTGGTAAAATTATACTTGCCTGTAATCTTACAAATCTAATCAAGAGGAATTTAAGCTAAACGTGGAGTGGGAAGGGGGAAACTACTTTCATTTCTACCAAGTCCTTTTCCAAAGTGTAGCAGGTGCAACACAGGAAGGCAATATCCAAGATTCCAGCTAATAAAATTCATCACCTTAGATGTCTATACACAGATGCACAAAATATGGATAAGAGATATTGAACTAGAGATCCTGGTCGAAGGAGGCAAATTTGGCTTCATTGATAACACTAAGATTTGAAGGGATAGTTCTAGAAACAATATATGTAAAAGTTACAGAATAGATCAAAACAGATCAAAAACCTTGCAGAGTGGCAAAATGTAATAACAGTGATGGGGGACTTCAACTATCTGGATTTTTATTGAAGTTCTCTCTGCCAAGAGCAGAGCAGATATAAATTCATGATTTGCTTTAATGATAAAAGAAATGAAAAGGGGAACCTTCTATTTTAGACCTAATTTTTGACTAACAAGAAAGAACAACTGGTTGCTAAATGTCAAAGCTCAATGTAAAGCTGGTGATGAATATAAAATAGGACAAAAAAGATTTTTTATTAAAAAAAATTATGGGGCAAGAGAAACATCAAAGAAGGAATAATAGTAACTTTTTGTGAATGGATAGGATAATAGTAGATGACTAAGAGAAAGCAAAACTATTCACCTCTTACTTAGTTTCTAGTATTTCTGCCAAGAAGAATGATCTTCAACCTAGGAGAAATAAAACAAAAATGGTTAACAATGACTGAAACCCAAGATAAGGGAGGAGATGGTAAGAGAGCACCCAGCTACTCTCAATGAATTCACATCACAAGACTCAGGAAAATTAGATCCCAGGTTACGGAAAGAATTGGTAGATGTGATCTCTGAGCCTATGTGTCACAGAACCGGAGAAGGGCTAATGTCCTGATTTTCAAAAAGGGAAGAGTGTGGTTTACCAAGTATAGTCCAGTGAGCTTAACATCCTCAGTTTTGGGCAACATTCTAAAACTATCATTTTCCAAGGAACTATCAAGAGAATATCAATGCCTGCTTTCCCGTAGCTATGAAATCTTTATAAAAATAACCCATACACTTATCAAGGCATTGTGGTGAAGGTATGAAAAGGGAGCAGGCAGGCTTTCACAGATGCTACTCTTCATCAGATTACATATCTTTATAGTCACACAGCTGACTGAAAGTTGCAAAGATAACAAAATCCCCATTCTTTCTGACTGGTGACTATAAAATATCATTTGCTTTAGTACAACAAAATGCCTAGGCTGTCATCTAACAAGGTGTCTCTCATGTATGTTAAAATCATACAAAATTTCTTGAAAGATGAACAACAAAAATAACTTTGTTTGATGGCCTTCTGATTTTTAATATGAAGAGAGGCATAAAACAGATATATTTGACATTGTTATGGAAAATACGGCTAGTGCAAGTTCCACATCAAAGAGGGATTTCCGCAGATATGGCAAGGTTCTCTGGATTTTCTTGTTTGCATATGATATCCTGATTGTATCAAGTCCTGCAACACTGTAGAATTTCCTGAGATCAACAATCACTGAAAAGAGTCTAGTGTAACTATTCACCCAAGAAAAACCAAGAGGATGAAGAATGTCTATCATCTGAACTATGATACGCAGTTGGACAGCCAATCATCAACACGTATATCTTCTAACAGATATTGCAGATGAACAATAAACTGGGCCTAGAACTAAAAAAGAAGAGGAAAACAGGCTGAAATGCTTTGGAGAAGTTTCACAGTGCTTTTAATACCCCTAATCTTGTCCCTAAAACAAAGGCTCATCTATTTAGCGTATAATACATAACAATATATAACATATTCTTTTGGACATACCTTGGGGTTACAAGAAATGGAATTGCAGTTTCCTAAGAATCGTAAGCTGCCGCATGAGTGGGCTGCAACATATCACCAATGAAGAATTGTTTGGAAGGAATGCAAAGGGACATCATCATACATGTCTGATTTAAAAAGGTGAGCCAATTACTTAGCAAGATCAAAGGATAACAGATGGAGAACCCACATGATCCACTGGTAACTACAAAATAATAGTAACACATACAGTTAGATGCCTTAAAGTTTACTAAGCGCTTTACATACATTAGCTTATTTGAGCATCACAATCTAACTCCATGATACATATAATGAAACTGAGGCTTAGAGAGGTTAGTGCCATGATCACACAGCTACGTTCACCACTAAGTTAACTAAGTTGTTAACCACTGCCAGTACGTGTCGGAGGTGGGATTTGAAACCATATAGTCCTACCTCCAAGTCCAGCTATCCACTAAGCTATGCTGTCTTTCTACGCAATGTCAAGGGATTTAGAGGCAGGCCCATAGTGTGTTGAGTGAGACCTCCTGTGAAGATTTTATGGGACGCCATGGACGAGAGTCATATAGAAGACCCATGGACAGTTTTAATCTGAGCCACTGAAAGGATTACTGACACATCCATCAAAATGTTAGTAGCCTTGGGCAAAGTTGTTTGTGAATATTTAGAAAGAGAAGTGATGATCATTAAAAGCCAGCTTAGCTTCACTAATAAACCAGCTAGATGGATTCACAACTGTTTAATGGCCACACCCCCAAAGAATAATCACTGATAAGTCACTGTTACCTGATTCCAGGATTTGAACATAGAGATGGAATGTTTATCAACTCTGCAGATGACACAAAAGTGAGAAGTTAACTTCCCAACTGTATGAGAGTCAGGATCCTAAAATATCTTAATAGACTAAAACAGGTGACTGAATTTAAGATAAAATTTAATATAAAAAAATTATAGGTTTAAAAAATCTTACATATGATTTTTTTTGGGGGGGTGAGGCGATTGGGGTTAAGTGACTTGCCCAGGGTCACACAGCTAGGAAATATTATGTGTCTCAGGCCAGATTTGAACTCAGGTCCTCCTGACTCCAGGGCCAGTGCTCCATCCACTATGCCACCTAGCTGCCCCACATACAATTTTTTAAAAATCCACTTTAGAAGTTCCCATGGGAAAGGTCTTATAAGTTTGGTGGACTGTAAGTTCAACATGAATCAACAGTGGGACTTTTTAAAAAGCTAAATCTGGTAGTTCTATCTTAGGCTTCATTAAAAGGGACCAGATGGAGAAAGATGATTCTCCTATGCCCTGTTTCCTGATCATATCACTTCTGGAGTACTGTGTTTGATTCTAGGCACCACGGTTTAGAAAGGGCATAGACAACCTGGGACATGTTCGGAAAAGCATAGTGAAAGGAAGACTGGAAATGATGTCATTCCCAAGATCAGTTTTTCCTATGTAGAACTGAGAATATCCAATCTGGAGAAGAGAAGAATTACGGGACTCATGATAGCAGTCTTTAAGTATCTGAAGGGCTATCCCTGTGGAACAAGAACTAATTTTTTCTCTTGGGCCTAGGGTGCAGAACTAGAAACAATTGGGAGGCAGGGAGGAGAGAGAAGGGAGAAGAGGAAACAAATTACAACTTCCTAATAAGATCTGTGCTAAAGTGGAAAGGGCCACTGCCTCAAAAAGTTACACACACACACACACACACACACACACACACACACACACACCCATACACACCCATACACCCATGGGAGGGCTTCAAATAACAGCTGAATGGCCATTTGTTAGGAATGTTGTAGAAGGGATTCTTGTTCACCTACATAACCTCTGAGGTCCATTCTGAGATTGGGTGATTCTCTCCAAACCCCTTATTTTTGAAAGGAGAAAACAAACTGAGGAAAGAAAGAGAAGGAAAGAGATTTGCTCAAACAGTTACATAGTAAGTAGTAGAGTCAAGATTTGAATACAGATTGACTGCAAGTACAATGAATGCTCTTATGACATTATGCTATGTTAAAGGAACAGAGAGTGAAGGGAACCTGCTCTTCTTGGTCCAAATTAAAGCAAGACTCAATATGAGCTTCGCCCAGAGGGGGTGAACCTATCGAACTTTTATCCTCTTCTTGGCACCAGAGAAATGGGCTCAGAAGTTATGCCCAGAGAGGAGATAAAGGACTAGAACTTACAGATTCCAGGTTAAGGCCTTCCACCCCCTTTTTTTCTCTGCTGTCCTGCTTGAGGCTCTGCTTTGCCTGCAGACTAACCTCAATTTTTTTCAACTTCGGTTTCCTGCTGGAATGATACTGCTTTTGCAAAATGGATGTGTGGTTTAGGTTTTTATATTTTGATGAGTGGCTAAAATGGATGTTTGCCTCTTCTCTCCTATTCCTTCCCACCTTTCTCCTCCTGCCCCATCCCCATGCTTCTCTGCCTGCTCTCCAACTTGCCTCACCTCGCATGCTTGTGTGGGCAGACCCTGGCTCTCCTAAGAAATGTCGAGCTCGATTTGGCCTC